ATATCTGAACTAACTTAAAGTTTAGGGAAAATACAGTTTTGGTCTGTCTGTGTAATAAAAATTTAGTTAAGCCTAACTGTTTCTACTCTAAATGAAAAGAGAGTCCTATACTGGACCCCTACACATAATCCTGTAAGTAAAGAAGGATGAGATGCTATACTTAACTCTTTAAAAACTGAAAGGGCTGATTTTGGTCTTTTTTCCACTCTGTAGGGACCACGTTGATGTAAAGGCAACTGTAAAAAGCCATAGAAGATCCTAGGAAAATTGATTTAATACAACAGTAGGGAGGTAGGGAGGATACGAGTGGCTTTGAGTTGTTAATTGGTGTTCAGAGAGCTGCCATGACACTGCACAGCTCTCAGTAAACCCTACATAGCAGCACAGACTACGGCTAGGTAATCACAAGACAGCTCGCTGTTCTGCCTTTTGGCCTCTACTTTTAAAAAAGCAGCAGCACAGAATTCTTATGAGTGTATTTGTCGTGCTTCTTCAATCAAAATACTTCACAGGATGCAGCCAGGGTGATTAGTCTATTAGTAATAATAGTGTAGGCTATACAGGCATCTAAATTCCTTTCATTCAAAACCATAGGAAAAGTCATCTCCGTTTTAATAATTATAGCACACACTTATACAAGAAGTGCAGGAGGAACAAGTGCATACCAAAAAAGATGGAATTAATTTAAATGACCAAAATATGCTATTTAAATAAGCCTTGTGCTCAAATACCAGCAGGTCAGAAAGAGAAATAGTTAATGTATAGTTCCCTATGATAAATAGGCTTATTTCCTGCTGTTTAAATAAATTCGTATTTCTTATTTTGTTCTCAGTTTGTAATCCAATCACAATTCCAGTAATAATGAGCTCCCTGGGAGCTTAAATCAAAATATTTATTGTTATTAATTTTGAGAGTTTATGTTAGTCTAGCATCATTAGCAAAACGCAGTAGTTGTAAACAGTAATTGACACTGGTGCTTCCACAGCTATATACGGATCAATTGCCTGAGGCTGTGTTCCAGAGTGTCTAGGTGTGGTACTCAGTTGCCATTTTGCTGATCAGTAACTACTTGAACCCTATGGTTGCCTTACAGTAAAACTAGTAAGTCATTAATAATTTCTTTGGTTTTCTTTTACTGGAATTGTTGCACGTTCTACAGATACCCCTATACTACTTAGTCCTGGTTCATGAGATAGATGTTACAGTCAATGTTAACCATGTCTCTACAACTGATGGATTATTCTCAGCAGTCCAGTCAGCTCCTGACTTGAGTTTGTTCTGTTCCATGATTTAGCATTTTCTCTAGTTCTTAGGGATATTGTGAAGGTTTTGAATATAGCTCAAGATTTGAGGTTCCTGAAAAATGCATTCTGAGCATTAGAAGCACAGTTTAAGCCTTCCCATGGTAATGAAGCTGCAAACTGAACGTGGTTAACCTTGATTCTAAATATATATCCTAACTGTATGAGTAAACACATGTCCTGTGCAGGAGTGACTCACAACTTCTGAAGCTCTTAACAAAGCACAGTTGAATCATCTAATTAGTAAAACAGTAAACAAAAATTTCAAAACTTCCATATGGCTTTGGAGGGGCTAATCTTTTTCTGTGTGTTCATACACACTTTTTCATTGTTCTTCAAAATGAGGTACATGTCAAAGAAAAAAGAAATCATTTGGAGGTGTGTACAGTGGTTTTATCTGGATTTGAAGAGACCTGGGATTAGATGCTCTGCAAAAGTGTAATCAGTTTGAAGATAACACAATCTCTCGTGAGTTCACAATCTGAAATTTCTATTATTACTTATGATTTACATGCCACTTAAATTATCTTCTATGTTATATCGAAATGAAAGGCATCACTCATTTTTCCACTCTCTTGGAAGTCTTCCATCTTATTGCCAAAGCCTTTAGTTTCCATTTTGTGTTCTCAAAGTGATTTCCTAAAGCCTCAACCTCTCTTTGACCATATGTCTCCCAAAACTAGAATTCAGGATACCACTGCAAGATATACCGCTGGTTCAGCGAGCATATTCTGTGTTTGTGCAAGGTAAATCAGTTAGCTATATTATATTACATAGAGGCTCACTCAGAGCTGGGACTGAGTTTACACCATTAAGGGATGAATGCATTGTGCCTGAAGAGCTGCTAGCATCTTCTGTCTCCTAATGACACCAGTGGAAGTGCCTCAATGGAAAGGAGATAAGGAGATGGAGAGATGGAGAGTCAGGATGAAAGACCTTTAAGAGAGTCATTTGAGTTTCACTTTTCGATATGTAAAAGGAGAACAGGTTTCATGATGATATTAGTTTCTCAGTCTTAAGAAAAGGTGATTCAGTAGCTGGAACTCAAAGAATCCATTCAGTAATGTTTTACTGGACATTGTGAAATCTCCCATCTTCTCTTTCTGCCAGCTGTTTCATACAAGACCACAACCTCTTGAACTTTTGTGCAAGTGATGAGCTGAAGGAGAATACTTTTCTTCCAAGCCAAGTAATTTCTGCACAACCATATGCTTCTTCCAGTAATAGATGGTTAAATTCTCACTGTGAACTTCTTTAAATCCAGAGCCAATTAGATGTAAAGAGAATACTTAAATTTAAGTCAGTTGAAAAGCTTGTAAACAATTATAAGGACACACATTAATTTCACTGGACAGCCAAGGAGGAAATTTCACCTATTCAGTGCTTTTGCCAATAGTCACTGTCAGAGATATAAAGAACAAAAGAACAGTATCGGGCAAGTCAGCCACATCATAGTATTTTACTTTCTGTGATTATGAATAATACATTGGAAATTTCATCCTTTAACTTTCTTAATGAGTCCTGGAGATTACTTTTGCGACTACTTAATTTATGCATTAACTTGCTAACAGAATAGAAGTGTCATTCAGTGCATTACTAGAACAGTAGAATCAGATCTAATATTACATCTTGATATTGCTGTCTCACAAAAGGAGATATTTTGTTGTATATATATATTAAACATTTATATTAAACTGCTGACATTTATATATATTTAGAAGTTGTAGACTTTTTTGAACTGTAGAACAGTGACTCTCATTAGAACTTTTGCATTAGATACAGAAACGTATATTCAGAGAAACATAGAATGGTTTGGGTTGGAAGGGACTTTAAAGATCATCTAGATCCAACCCCACTGCCATGGGCAGGGACACGTTCCACCAGACCAGGTTGCTCAAAGCCCCATCCAATCTGGCCTTGAACGCTTCCAGGGAGGGGGCATCCACAACTTCTTTGAGCAACCTGTGCCACTGCCTCACCACGCTCATGGTGAGGAATTTCTTCCTAATACCTAATCTAAATCTACCCTCTTCCAGTTTAAAGCCATATTGTTACTGGCTGCTTAACCTTGATTCCTTATTTCACTTCTGTCAGAACTTTTTTGTCAAATGGAACAAATCATATTTAAACAGTCCAAAGTATTTTGAAATTAGAGGGCTGTATTAAATTAGTTTTTTAATATAATTATTTTACATATTTAAATAACATTATACAGATAGCTACATATAGACATTTCTTAGTCTTATGAAAACTTTTGCCTGCTGCATGACTTTTGCTTACTATACATGTACTTTTCTTCATCCTCTTTTCTTTAGGATTACTTTTAATATCCCAAATTTCTCAATTTATTTCTTTTTTGAAAGTTATTTGAGAAATGCATCACTCCTTCCACATTTGAAATTTCTACCAAAAACCCCACGCTGGCTTGTATAGCACTATAGTAAATGTATTCAGACTTATATCACTGTAAATTCTGAAAGCTGATGGGGTTAGCTCCACTCAACACTGTTTGGATTTATGCCTCCAGGTGGTGTTACTCCCTGAAGCTATATTTAAATCAACAGAGTTATTCTGATATATGCCATCCTGGGTGAATATTTTGTGATGTGTGGCCTAGAAAATACCAGTATGTTCTGGTATATGTCACCAGAAGTGACTGATAGTCTATGTGTGTGTAGAGGGCGAGGAGAGGAAGGGGGGAGGTTAAGCTTGTGCGTTTCTCAAAGTAACTTTTAACAGTAGATCTGCAGAAGCCAGATGTTTGGCTGTTTCTGGAGGTCAGCACCATTTTAGGTGCCTCAGACTTAGCATTTGTGACCACTAAAATCATTAGATTCTTCGGAAATGGCCAAGGGCATTGTGCCATGGAGGACATTTACGTCCTTGAAATCACAGAGAAGTCCAGCCTTATGGTATAGCATATACATAAAATCTGTTAGGTACATGTTATAGTTTTCTGAATTCTTATTTATAATAATCTATCATTAAGGCCTATAAAACAAATCTGATAGTTTAAGGGAAATCTAATGTTAGTGCCCATATCAATTTAAAAAGAAATCTAAACCATCTACAAATTATATCATTTATACACAAGTCAAAATTTGTAGTAGAGAAGTTTAGCTGATCTTTATTTGGAAAAGTTTTAACTCCTTTTTGTTTATTGCAGTAAAAGGTAACGCAACCATTTCTAACTCATGCCAATAAAATCTCTTTGTGTTTTTATACACCATAATGTATTCTCTCTCTCTTTCTTCCATGTTCCTGTGTCTCAATATAAAATACGTAATTCATAAGCCTAGGGTTAGAGACCTTCATTCAGCTTGCCTAGAAACACTGAGTACCCAATGAGACTTCTGAGTACTGTGTAAAATATTCACCACTGTTGTCATACAAGAAGATTTATTAGTCAAAGAGTGAAAAGATTTACACAACAGCAGAACTATGGCTGCTGTACGGTGGCATCACAAGCCATGTCTCAAAAAGTTTTGTGGAAACACTGTAATAAAAAAATTGTTGTTGACAATATTGACTGTGAAATTACATCTAGGAGCAACAAATTATCAGGACTGTATTGTAGACCAATTTTAGAATAGTTAATCAAAGCCAATAATTTTTCTATTTATTGTGAGAATTGGTAGTGGTTAGATCTAATGAAGACCTCTGATAGACACTCACTGTCCTAATTTCCTGCTTCATCAGAGCGTGTAACTGAAGTGAAGACTGACATCTTCGTCACCAGTTTTGGGCCTGTTTCAGACCATGATATGGTAAGTGATGGCCTATAGTTCTACAGCATTCATTTTCTCTTGTCTTTTTAATTTGGAGGATGAAAGATCTATGCAATAACTTCAGTCCTTTTAAAGCTGGGCTTTCTTAAAATCCTTGACTCCAAAATGCTGTCAGCTTTTATGTGCAACCATTCCTGCTAGCTGTGACTGTATTTAAGTGCCCTAAAATTAGCAGCCTCAATGACTTTAATAATGTGTTTTAACAGACCTTATATTTGCTACATAATATATTATGAAATGCATTAGGGTTTGGATCTGTATTCTTCTGAGAATGATGGCTCAGGTCCTTGCTGGCACATCACTGATCCAATTTGCAGAGAAAGATCATCTTAAAACGCAATTAACACTTATGCCTACAGTGTGACATCTGTACAGTCTAACCTGTATTTTTATATTAAAAGCTACTGATCAATGGGAAGTGACTTTCCTAGATCTTGGCTGCTGAAAGAGAAGATTAATGAGAGAATTAGTGTCACTTCTTTATGGAATGAATATTAAAATCAAACTGCTAGATAACTGCAGGGGATGGAGAAGTTCAGAAAACTGAATGAAGATGTTGTGAGCCCTGGACTTAAGAGATATTAAAAATTGTGTAAAAATACAGATAAGGACTTTAAATTTTGCATGTAAATGAGGTCTTCACAAGTAGGTTGCTATTGACAGGGAAAGCCTGGTCTGCAGCTACTAGTATCTGCTGGATCCTATGTTAGGATGAATGCTGGAAACATCCTCATTAATTTAAATGAAGAAAACAGTAGCTGGCTACATTTACCTAAATACATTCACCAAAAGAAAGATTTATAAAAAAGTAAGAGAAAAAATTATCATAGGAAAGGAAACAAGTTCCATTTCTCACCACAAAATTGTCAGTTGTTTAATTTGAACTAAAACTGTAGACAGGCCTTAAATACCAGGCTATTACAAGTTTCTGACTACTTAAAACAATGTTAAGGGATGGAATAACAGAGAAAGTAACTTTTACAAGATAGTTTATTTTCCTAAATGAACTTTATACAAAGACACCATTTTACTAGTTGCTTAGCAAATAGCATTTATAAAACTACAGTCAAATCTATAATTGCAACTGATGCCATGGATATTTAAATGAGAAAGAACAGCTTGGGGAGCATAGACTTTTTGACCAGTCATTCTGCTGAGAAGACCTACAATAGAAGGATAATCTAGGGAAATAGCTAGACTGGTGACTTGTCTCCTCAGCACGTCTATACAATACTATCTAAGTACTATGTATACCATGAAGAATTAAAAAAAAATTTCATTCAGTGACTTCTACTTTTTTGGTCTGTGATAATTTTGTGAAATTACAATGTCTACTTATTACTGTAAATTATTCAATAAAAGAGGAGAAATTCCTTGGATTAAAGATTGGTAGAAACCACTGACATCTGCTATTTGTGTTCCGGTAACTCGTTCAGCAAAACACTTCATCTTGCTTTCCCATTTGTGTCTTGAAAGAGGTAACCAGTCACCACTGGACAAACTGAAAACTTTGATTACAGTCATGTGACTAAAATGTGGGTTTTTTTTAAATTATTAGTATTATCTAATAGTCTTCAAATTACAACTGCAGCAGCTGCAGTTTGTAAATGATCTCAGGTTCCTCCATTTTTGTAGGGACCTGTCTTCTTGGGACAGGTCTCTTGTTAATTTCCTGAAAATTAACACAATTTAAAGTATTGGGGTGGACATAGATGCTTGTGAGGGATGAACAAAGAAAGAGTGATAGATATATATAGGTGAATTTATGCTTTGTATTAATATATATTGGAGTTGTTTTCTATAAGTCTGGCTAAGCCATTGTTTGCCTTGTTGAGTCAGATTTACTGGAAAACTCCAGTAATGAATCTAATAAACAAATGGACATGGATGCTTTCCTACATGTAGATATAAATTTAGAGTAACTGATAGGCCTGCTGAATTACTTGGGACTACATAATGTTTGTACTTCAGCATCTACTTATACTTCATAGTTTCAGGTGATTTAATTATTAAGTAGAAAGTAAAGCTAATTTGACATTCCTAGGAAAAACTGATATTTGTATGGGATTTTGGTTTTAAGGAAGAATAAAATACTGAAGCCCAAAATAATCTACTTTCAGAATTAGGAATAGGTATCTTTGAAAAAAAAATTATTGGTTTCAGCTATAATTCAGTATAGCTGAATTACTATAGCATAAGAGATCTCTACCTGCGAAAAAAACCCACCTCAAAAATAATTAAAACCCCATACCACATTGGCTCCCAATTTTCACTTAGTTAAACAGGAGAAAGAATTCATCGGTCTCTTAATAAAGTGTGCGACCAAGAAACACACAGGCAGGTGTTCCTATGTTTTGAAAACTAAGGTATTACAGAAAAGTATTTAGTGTAAAACTCCTACTCACCTCCCCGAAAGAGTCATGCGTGTGCAGCCCACTAAAGCTAACTCTTTTGCTTAAGGAAGTAAGCGTGAAATCAGAGACACAGAGAGAAAGATAAAATTAAAAGCTTACCAGAATATAAAGTTTATCTTAATTTCAATGTACATTTAGTGCAAAGTCCTCTGTGCATACTAGAGGTTGGCTATCATTTGAGGGCTACCCCAAATTTGCTCCAGTGAGCAGATTTACAGTAAGCGTAGAGAGGGTTGTGGGATTCGGTCACAGGGAGGCCTCACAAGCAGCTGTATTGGCACACTGAGGGAACGATGCGCTGCTGTCGGAGCCCAGGACTGATGGCTGGGAACTGGCAATGAGCTACTCCAGCTGACGCCGTATGTTATGAAACTACAGCCACAGTGAGACATCAGCGTACCTAGACCATCTGTTTGCAGGAATCCAATGAGGCAGCTATATAGATAGTAGCTTGATATATCAGAGAGTACATGGTGTTCCTACCCACTCTCAATACACTCTTTTAAGAGCAGCATAGACATAACCTGTTATTCTATAAAGAGAATGTCTTGGCTTGTTCTTAAACTTGTGAATAAAGTTAAACAGGAAAAAAGGACTTTTTTTAAATAAAAACATCTTTTTTTGGAAGAACTTTGCAGGTTCTCAGGTATGCTCTCCTAGATGGTGGATTGAACTAATCAACAGATAACTGGCTATTCTCACATGACTAATTTTTGTGAAATTTTCGATGTATATTATCTGGAATAAGAAGCATTTTAAAATTAACTTTTTTCATAAAGACACATTCATTTTTTTTTCCTAGTAAAACTTCATTCCCACTGCTTCTGTGCTGTAAGATCTTCAGGAACAAATTTCTATCTCACTACCTTCCTGTACAGCACCTTGTCTGATGTAGACCACAGCGTGGTCTACTCTGTGAATAAACAGTCTCTGGGGAGAGATACCAGATGAGTAAATTAGAGAACATTTAAGTCAAAGTGTTACAACTATTCAATACCTAACTTATTGCTTAAGTGCAGATAGGAATCTTCTGTCTTTACCTGCACATTCAGGAATGAAGAGTCGCCACACTACTTTATTCCAAATTTCATCTTGCTGATACGTTTGCACATAGACAACTGCTATAGTACATGGTTTGGAGAAAATCTTTCTGTTCCCTTGTTCTGTATGGCACCCTCCTGTAGAAGAAAGCCTTAATCAGAGTATCTGATGACTTGATCTTAAAGATCAGCTGTCTGTCAGGATTTATTTGAGGAGAATTATTGTACATATTAAAGTGGGTAGTGAAAGCTAAAGAGTTCAGAAATCTCAGCCAAAATGAATTCATTCTATATGGTGCATCAGCCTGGGATAGAGGAAGATTCGGTCTGTGCCAGGCATGACCTGCCAGCTACTTTTTAATTGAGTTTTTTCTTATGCTGTCAAGTCTCTTATCAAATTGCTCAGACTCCACGTTCTTCTCCAGCATAAGAACCTTGTGCTCATATAAAGCGAAGAACCAGACTCCCTTCTCTCAACCTGTGTCACCTCCCACTCACCTCCTTCTTTGCAGTTGAAAGATGAAAAGGGAATGGTTTACATGCACACCGAAATGATGTCACCTTCTGGGCACATCTTTTACCTTTCCCATGTGTGTAGGAGGAAATTTTCTTTGGCGCTAGTAAAACATGGAGGAAATCCGTGTTTAACAATCCATTTTAATGCCATCTACTGCCCTTTAAACCTCCTTCTCCCCTGCACACCTGGAACAAGAGTTAGCACACAGTTCAACCTAAGGCCCCGACCCAGCAAAATTCTGAAACAGGTAGTTGGCTATAAATGCACAACTGCTTTCACTGGAGCTGAACAAATCCAGGCTTCAGCAGCTGACTGAGCATGTCATTGAAGAAATGGAAATACAATTAAGTATGCACCAAAATGATTCACAGGTCGGGGATGTAAATTAAAAAAAAAAAAAAAAACACAAAAAACACCAACCCAAAACCCAAACAAACCCGAAGTAATAACAATCCATGGAACTACAACATTTCCATGTCCACAAATTTATTCAGGCATTTCATGCCCTAAAACCAGGAAAAACACACCATCAAGTAAGAATCACTAGCCTTACTTGCTGGTAGTTGCACAAGGAATAAACAGCTCACAATTGCCAATACTGTATGGAGCGTTGCCAGTTGTTAAAAGAAAAATCACAAGTCTAAGGGAGGCTGCCACAGAGAGATTTTGCATACTCATTCCAGAATGTTTCTCTTTACTAACACATTCCTTGGGGCAGCTGTTTTCCTTATAGCTGCAGGTGCCTTCACACACAGGGATTTCCTTTCCTTCAGGATTTACCTTCTCCATTGGCAGGAGATCTCAGCAAAGGTTCAGTTTCTCAGACAAAAGAGTGCCATTCAGGGTAATTTTGAACAGTGCTTGGATAGCTACTTTTGATGTTTATCACAATATCATAGCCATGAATGATTGAAGGGGCAGGATAATCCCATACTGAACTTTCATGTCAGAGTGAAATTTTTGCCTGGGAAAATATTATACTATGCTGCATCCACAGGATTTTTTCACATTTTCACCCCTCATAACTCTATATTTTATGTACAATACTCCAACATATTTTTCCTGATTTTACACCTTAACTTTGTTCCTATTTCTTTGTAATAAATGATTCTTTGATTTCATAGTGAGTGCTGGTTATTTTAATTCTCCCCATGTACGCTGGGTCAGCCGCTGCATCTCTTCCCCATTGGCCCAGTCCTTGGGCCAATACTAATACTACCAGACTATAACTCTTGGTCCAAATCTGTCCTCGGCTTGTGCTTTCTGTAGTTCAATGATTTGGCCAATGAGCCATTCCACGTTTCATAAATCAGATCACATAATTTTAGTGAACTGTGAACTTTTCACACGTTGACTACATGTTTATGCTAATAAGATACTTAGAACAAAAGGCTCTAGCAACACTCTGTCTCACCAGGCTTGTTTTATTCTAAGAGACGTATTCTTTCTGTGCCATGCATACTGGCTACATAGCCACAGCTTCAAATTACAGTTTTATGAAAGGTGAAGGAAAAGTGAGAAAAGGATGAATTATTTTGTTTCCACTATATTACATCTCAAATTCTTGCCTACCTTTTGATATACTATTCTCCCTAACATTTATTCTGTTGAACACAGTAATGATACTGTAACTGTTTAATAACCAGCTTCAGGTACCTTGTAAGTAATACAGAGAATAAATGTTCTGATAATTACTAATTTCATTAATAGTCATCTTGCTTCTAGGGAATGGTAAGAATATACTTTTCAAGTTCTCATTTTGCAGCATATGGCATCACAAGTGTTTCCGTTTTTTCTGAACTGATGTAGGAATACACTATAGATGTATTTTTCCGCCAAAGCTGGAAAGATGAGAGATTAAAATTCAAAGGACCTATGACTGTTCTCCGATTAAATAATTTAATGGCCAGCAAAATTTGGACACCTGATACCTTTTTCCACAATGGAAAGAAGTCAGTGGCTCATAACATGACGATGCCAAATAAACTATTACGAATTACAGAGGATGGGACATTGCTATACACAATGAGGTGAGCCCTAAAATATTACATCCTTCATTTAGTTTGACATTTTAACTTGTTAGAGCATCATATTTTCCATACAGGAAACAGGTTCCTTTTTGAGCATAATTTCATTCCTGCTTAGTAATTATTTTCACAATAGGCCATGGAATGATGGACAAGCTGAGGCATTTGCAGTGCTTATTTTTTTTTCCTCTCCTGCTGTGCTACCTTTACACTCACTGGATGTGTCTTAATGCTTGATTTTAAAAAGGTACCTATAGTATTAGGAATCTATCAGTTTGCAGAGTATCTTAATTTGGAGTTGCTTTCTGGGATTCCATCAGCAAAGTATAAAAAAGCCTGAAAGTTTAATATAACGTAGACTACTAGGTTGTGTACAAGGGTCTTTAATCTTCAGATCCTATAGAAGGCAGACTCTAAGAACTGGCAGATGCACACAGAATTCATTGCCCTTTCTTCGTATTTCCTGTGCTTGGGAGCACAGGAGCATGACAGTCTAAAAATGAACATTTCTTATTCCATTCATAACAAGAAAAACAATTCATTAAAGCATTTGGAAAGTTAGGAGAAAAAAATATTTTTGTGCTGGCACCACTCTTCCTGGAAATATATTATCATCTTTATGGGTAACTGAACTTTAGCTATCCAGTTGTCAGCAGAGGAGTTAAATAAATCCTTTTGAAATAATGATAATACGCAGTTGTGGAAACGTTCTGGATTAAAAGACTGCAAATTAAACAATGAAAAAAATGGTATGTTGTCTCTACAGAGCTACACATCCCCTGTTTATTTCTCCCATGGAATCAAACAAGGTATAAAGTGGATTCTGTTGACTTAAAGTCAAGATGGATAGCTTAGTATGTAGGTGAACACTGAGTTTTCTTTTAACAATTTTAAAGATGTTTTTAAAAGCAGTAGAAGAATTTGGAGAAAACAAAGTCTCCAGGCTTTTGAGAGCTTGTCAAATATGTTCAATTTATTCTGCAACATCCTCCAAGACTGCTTAGGCTAGGGTAGAATCTGCTTGGCTGTTAGTTATACAAGTCCAGGTCAATTTTTCTTGTCTTCCTAAATTCTTGGCTGTTAGGGATTTAATCCACAAGAACACTATCTTGGCAGCACATTGTTCACATATGTCTCTTTTTTTGACCATAACCATTTCTATTTGCTCACTTTCGCAAGTGCCTTAATACAATCTTCTGCCTAGTATTCAAGTATGATTGTTCATTCCTTGCTGATGTGTGGTATGTGACTGTTTCTAGTTCATTTAATCTCCTTTATTGAGAAACATGTTTGCACCCAAACTGATAGCAACGAAATGATTTCAGCAAATGTCTGAGCATCCAGAGTGGGCCAATTTAACAATGGCAACAAGGAAGCAATTTCAGTTTCTAATAGATTTTAATGCTCACACCAAGTTAGAAGTCTGAGCATGTCTCTGCTGTACAGTGAAACATGGCAGAGGGGCAGAGCCAGTCGCGCTGCTGCGTCTACACATGCTTGTCGGCCCCCCCAGCCAGCCAATTCAGGTCCTGTTCTAGCTGCTAATTAATCACATAACAGATATTATGCTATGCGTATTCTATGTGTCTTAATAGAAGTCTATTTGCTATTTCTATGAAACTAGAATAAATGTGTCCTTTTGCTCATTAATCCATTATAGATTGACTGTGAGAGCAGAATGTCCAATGCATTTAGAAGACTTTCCTATGGATGCACATGCTTGCCCCTTGAAATTTGGAAGCTGTAAGTTTATTTTAAACTGAGGTTTCTCCCTTTTTAGGCCACTTTACAAAAGTATTTTGCAACTGAGAAAACCTCAAGGTTTTAATCTTGTGTATTTTTCACTTTTTTGGCATGGTTGTATTTTTATTCTTATATATATATTTATATTTAGTATAATGAACCTCTTCTCTGTGTCTAAAATATCCTCCAGTGTCATGCCTGGACATTCACAAAAGAGAAAAATGACAGTGCTCTAAACATCTAGAAAAGTAGTCACATAGAAAATGTTGTTAATCTTATACTTACTTTATTTTGTTAAGACCCAAAACCAATGTTCAAGAAAAGTAATTCAGACCATCGATAACTGAATTGGTTTAGGCGAGAACAATTCCCCTACAATAGCCTTGGCATGTTTAGAACACAACTTTGCCTAAGATTATAAAATATTCATTTTACGATCATGCAACATTTCTGGAAGTGAAAAATCTCACAAATCTCCAAATTGAGTTCTACACTTGAGGCATTTGTAACCTTTGATTAGAGAACATACTGGACAAAATGTAATGTAATTGAAATCAGTGTAATAACTGACAAAGCTTACTGTGAGTTGAGAATTTCCCCCAAAACTTTCATTTGAATAACAACCAACCTGACACTGAAACATTCAAACTTAGCTAAACACAATGTTTTAAAAAATTAAATATAGCCCCTCTTCAACTCTGAAGTAAAACAAAAAGTGAAGAGCTGTTTTACACTGGTTGGTTCAACACAAACAAGGAAGATGAAATGTGTGGAAGATGTAATAGTGTACAAATTGTTTCCTCAATGGCTATTTTTTTCTAGTAGAAATGGGTCGTTTCACTGATAATGGGTACTTAGTGGCTTGATCAATTTTAGAAGTCAACAAACAGAACACCCAACTCATTCTTCCCGTGGTATCAGACAGGGTGATAATTTACTTTGGGCTGAATAGCTCTATTTTTACGATGAGAAAGGACTGATGTTTTGTCTTCAAGGAGTTACTAGCCTCTGAGATAAGATTTAGAGAACAAAAAGCTCATACAAACTTGGAGTATAACTGACAAGAATAGTTTACTCCTTGAATGTTAAGTTTTCTTCCAGCACTTCCAATAAATCTTTCAGAATCTCCTGCGAAACAGAAGAGGGTGGGGGGGAAGCCTTGCTCCGGTTAGTAATAGGGCAAATAGCTGCAGTGGGTTCTTGATTAATAACAGATCTGTGCACCTGAGATGCCACTTAGATAAGGATTGGTCACAGAATTTAATTTCTTTTGAAATGCACATTAAAGTGTCTGTGCAGACTGCATGCTGGATCTGGGAGGTGGGAAGATGGCTAATCGTGGGTAAAACCTGCTAATGCAAAGTTAAACCATCTGCAGGTTTTGAACAAATGTGAACTACTAGATTGAATTATTATAGACTTGGTAAGACATCTATCACCACATCTGTGCATTATTGAGCCACAGCCTGAACACCAGACCCTCTCTAGTCTGAACAATGGTTCCCAACATTGAGTTCTTTCTGGCCCACTGTGTCCCAGATTAGTGTGAACTCTTGGTTCACAAAGAGCATGGCTTTCCAGACTACTAGGTATCTTGCCTGGATTAAATGATTAAGAGATGCAGAAATTACGAATGAAAAGGGATAGATAATATGGATTTGAACACAACTCCAGAACCACATCACAAAGTAAAAACAAGACAGCGAAAACACATGCAAGTGTATCTGCATATCTTTTGTATCTAAATTGGTTTCCTTTCTATCCTGAAAAAAAATTTAATTAGCATAATATACATAATTTTCTTAAATGAACAAAAAAAAATTCAGTGTCATTTCTGATTGAAAGACCATTTCTTACACTAAAGTCAGAGGTGATATCTGGCATTCTAAGCTCAGAGTGCAGGCATGGTCTGTCATATTTTACAGGCTATTTTCTTTTTTTGTTGTTGTTTTGAACATTAACTGGCTATCATGACAGCTGTCCTAAACAGGACCTAGCAAAACAAGTAACTCCAAATGCTGGGAAGGGCCATGAGACAAAATCAAGGAGCTTTCAGGGAAACTTTGCATCCCACTACTAAATTCAGGTGAGCTTCTAATCTGGGATCCTTATGGGGAAGAGTTCCGTCTGTAACATGGTTTTACTGCAAACACTGCATGGGGAATTCACTGTCCAGAACAGGACCTTAAAGCTGGACCTCTCCCCTCCTTCTCATCAGATTATATGTCATAATCATCAGATTATAGAATATTTGTCTCAATATTTAGTTATTGATATAAATAGAAGTATCTCCCATGGGACAAATGGCTGGACCCAAGCAAGATATGAAAATGGGACTTGCTGTTGTACATAGAAAAAGAACCGTTCTTATATTTAATTGCCACTTTTTCAGTGGGAATCATATTTAAATACATTTGAGACACTTCTGTCAAACAACTGAAGCTATTTATTATAACCATCTTAATGGACTCAAAAATTTACTGAAAAACACATTTAATTGTCATGAAAGCCATGCTTTAAGTGTAGACTACAATATTACACTCAGTAGCTCCCCAAGATAGTGTTTGCCCAGCTCTGTTTGTTTTGGATTAAATTGGATAAGAGTTTTTCGATGTCCTCCACTGCTATTCATCACTTGTTGGAGCTGGATTCAGAAAAGCCTCATACTGAAGGAGTTGCATGTGTCCTACGGACCCTGCCCATATTATAGAGCCTGATAAATTTTTGACCCAGCTCCAAGGCTAAAGCGACTTGCCAAAATAGCAGCTTAAGCTAGAGGTTATTCCAATGTAAATTGAATGTAACAAATGCTAAGAGATTCTGGAACAACAAAAAGCCGTATGTTGGCAAAATGAAATCAGAAAGGCAGATGCTCTCCTCAACTCTTACCACAAAAATCTGATTGTCAATTTAAAACTAAGGCCACTCTGGAATGCAGCAGTGACGGGAGCAAAAGGTTATGTTCCTACTTATGCAATATCTGAATTAGAAGCTGAACAGAGCATCGAATCTGGCAGTTAACAGGGCAGGGCAAGCTCATTTCCAGCAGTGATGAGCATACTCCCTTCCCTCTAACCCAATCCAGTGGTCCTCAGCAGCTCAGGAAATCAGTCCTCTCTCTTCCAAACTACTCTCATACTCCAGAACAAGTGAAATGCTTGAAAATTAATATTATAATTACCACTCTTTCTTTATGTGATTAGATTAGTAAACCAATTCTTGTACTTTGGCCATTATTTTTAAGGTCAGAATTATTAAAGCATAGATTTGTATTTACCATTGATTCCAAAAAGCTGTGTATGTGTTGCAGTGCTTGGGGAATATGAAGTCTGAGGGTAAAAGCACCCTTCTGCTTCAATAATACAGGATCAAATGCCATGGAATTGATTTGCCAGCACACTCTATCCAACACCACCTCTTCAATTACTAACTGTTATCTCTTATATTAATAAGATAAAATTACTAACTCACAAATGAGGCCAAGTAAATCAGATTCCTCCTTTTCCTTTCCTGCTTGCCAGTCCTGAAAGAAGGGAAAATCTCATCCTGTAGGTAGGAGTCTCATGTCTTTTTAGATGCCCTAAAATGTCCCATCTGGCTTCCAGCTGCCTTTGGTGGGTGCAAGCTTTATGTAGGTTCTGATCACACATTCAGTCCCATACATGTCTTGGGTACTCTTAGGTGTGAAAAATGACACTAGATGCCTCTATGTAGACAACTAACTCCCACCCTAACTGCTCAGAGCGAGAGCTGTCAGACTCCAGACTATGCAAAATAACAGAAGGATTTTACAAGGGGAGTAAGATTAAAAATATTTATATGTAGTTTGATGCCTGAAATAACATAAATAACATACTAATAACAGCACAAAACTCCTCGATGGCATATGTAGTATGCTACTGAATTTGGATGGCATATGTAGTATGCTACTGAATTATCTACGTAACATACCAGACTACTCGCGTTTGGAGAGCCCACTGTGGTTTTCTTTTGCTTTGTTAAGACTCAAATAAATGTGAACTCGACCGTGAGCATTTCCCAGAATTAACCAAAGCAAAAAAAATAGATTAATTGTGATTTAAACTCACGGAAGCCTAGTCAGCCTCAGAAATGACTGCTGTGTCTGTTATACAGCAAGGACAGTGCTGGGGGGGATAACCAAATGGAAAACTCTAGCCGGGCTGACGATGAGGTCGCTGAAGCCACTCTGAGAAGGACTTATTTTCTTACAGTGGCCCAGACAACACCACACTATGACAAATTGAAAAGACTGGGACTCATCTTTCTTGATGATAGTTAAAAGTTAGAAAAAGAGTTGGAGTCCTCACATGCCCATGAAATTCCTTCCACTTCTCACTGTTGCTTCTGGTTACTCAGACTTTACATAGGTAGGAATGATGCAAGGGAGAGAAAGATTTTCATGCCATTGAGGACCAACTTTAATCCAGCCCTACAGCAGATATTTAGCTAATCATCATATGGATAGACCTATAAACCCAGTTATATTTCCCATGATAAAAAATTCCAGTAAGCTAGTTGTGGGTTTCTACAGATAATTAAAGATAATTTAATATTCAAACTACTACTCAAAACATTGCTTTGATAAAGCCATATGGCAACAGATGGTGCAAAGCTGAAATGCAATGTATTTCTTTTAAATTAGATGCTTATACCAGAGCAGAAGTTGTGTACGAATGGACACGGGAACCAGCAAGGTCAGTGGTTGTGGCTGAAGACGGCTCTCGATTGAACCAATATGATCTGCTTGGACAAACCGTGGACTCTGGAATTGTTCAGTCCAGTACAGGTCTGTGAAAAGGTTTTTTTGGGGAAGGGTCATATTTAACTGCCAAAACATAATTTAGAGCAGGAGGAAAAAAAACAAAGACCAAAGAGTGAGAGAGGTAAGTTTCAATATATGAGCTTCAGATTAGGAAAACATGATGCTGAAAAGATAACATATCCTGAGATTATTATCCTGCTTCAACTAGTGGATAAAATATTTGAACAATTAAAAAGCTATAGTAACAGATCTAGTCAGAAAAAACAATAATTTACATTATAAAGAAGCACTCCTCATATCCTTATTTTATCATCTGCTTACTATATAAGATTAAAAAATAGTATAAGAATATGAATCCTCAGAGATCATATTCCTGGAAGCAATGAAGTAAGTTGCTAAAAGAAAACATATAGTTTCTCAATAAGGTATTTAGAGACTAAAAAAAATATGTCATCAAATTATAAACCAACTGGAACATCCAAACAGGATGAGATTAATGAGATACAGAAATATAGCCGACGTTTATAGTATTGTCTACCTGTAACCTTGAAGCTGGCTAAAAACCTTTGCTTTTTCACTTTGCTGTATTTGTTTCAAGATGTTGTGGGGTTTTGTTTTGTTTTGTTTTTTTTAAATAATTTGGAAGGGACATGAAGACCTAAATACAGTAAGAAACTGAGCATTAGGCATGAACAAGAGCTCAGTGTTGACTAGATTGACTGTTCAGTGGACCAAAAGAAGCACTGCATTAGAAGAAGTAGTTGTACTGCTTTGAACGCACCCAGCATTTTGACTGAGCTAGAGAACTACACTTATACCTGCATAAACCAAACTTTCTAATGTGTCATTCAAAAAGTCAATGAACATTTAAGGAAAAGTGAGTCAATTTAAGGTGACCCCTAAGTCATGTCTGATTTTTTTGTTTAGCTTGCCAAAATATATTCATATGCTCTATTAAGCCAACAAAATTTCTCACAGACAAAAGTTTCAAGTGGACCAGTATTGCGATTACTGCTTGGAAGCTTCTGTTCAGTTGACGTAATCATAAAAGAAGTATATGGGACGGCAGTAATAAGGACTTTGCATAAGAACAATATCAACACAACTGCTCCCATAGATTCACCACTTCCATTATTGAGCACAGAGGCATGCATGAGACAAGTAAAAAGAAAAGGGGAGAACTCTTGGCCTGGCCACAGCTGGAAATTTTCCCATTGACTTTTGTGGAGCCAGTAACTCACCCCAGCTGCCCTTTGCTGAAAAGTCAATAGGATTTGTGAGGCACTGCAAGGATCTTGAGCTCTTTGCTCTTTATTTTCTGAAGCTACTCACTCAGAGAGACCTCAGCAACCTGTGTGCCTGCCCTTTTGTGCTTGTCGCCAATTCTCTGCTTGCTGGATGCATTATAAGGGCAGCGGGATAATCAAAAGAGATTCATAAGCTTGGGAACATATCTAAACCAAATAGATAATACCAGATACAGTTCAGGGTAATTAGACAGTAACATGAGAAACACCCCATAAATTGTTAAAAAAGGCATATAATACCTTTTTAAACAGAACTGAAAGTAAACATAACAATTGTAAAAATTCGTCATGCATTTCCATGAAGAAACAAAAAAATATTTGTTGAATGTTTGAATTCTGCCTCATTTTTCTACCTGAAGAAACTCTTTACCATGCCTATCTATGAAGTTAAATACAGTATAATTAAGATTTGCTGAAATAAAGATGCTATTGTCTAGATGCAGAAAAACATTACAAAGAACTAAATACAATGGTTATCAAAATTAAAAATAAGCCAAATAAAGAATCTTTTTAGTACCAAACTTGCAATCCTCTTTAGTTACTACCCAATAAGAATATACAGTGGTGGAAGAAACACATTTATTGCTTGCAAATTCAATGTCTCAAGGAAAAATTCTTCTTGATTTGCTCTGGAAAGGAAAATATTTTACCTTCTCTAAAATAATGGTGGGGATCAGAAGTGCTTAATAATCACTTTTCTCCCCATTCAGGTAGTTGAGCAGATAGTCTCAACAGAATCCTCCATTGTATCTTTGTCCTCTGATCATCTCTGTTTTAAGATATGATATACGTAATGAAAAATACAAAATCCTTCCCTAATTTCACAGTTGTGGATGATGAGTCATCTGACAAAAAGACAAAAGGAATTTAAGACAATCTTCACGTAAGAGTTCTCAGCACCCTTATTAGGCAAGAAATGAAGCTGATTCTGCTATCATTAGAGGAATCTACAACATCTTGGGCAATTTTAAGATTATATTTATAGTTGTCTGGAATTCCAGACAGATATTTTCTAAGACTTTGGGTGTAATTGGGTTACTCTAAACATTCTCAAAACTATTAAATGATTTGGTGAATCTATAAAGTCCTTTTCTTTTCCCCATTAATTTCTTCCTTTGCTAGTAGGCCATCTGCTATCCTTATTTCTGGATCTAGAAAAAGATAGCTATAAATACTGATTTTTTTATGATGAGAATCTTGAAAGACCAAAACTTTTTTATAGTATAGTTATTCATCTACACTGGTAATGGAATGTGAAGCTACTACAGGCTTAAAAATAGTATTCAGTAAATAAAATAATAATTATTCTTGCTGCTGTTTTGCTTAAGTAGAGTCATCCATTTTTCACTTGTATGTAAAATTCCTGTAACTCTCCAACTACTGACTCAGAAAGAGTTTAAAATGATCTTTTTTGTAAGCACCTTAACAGATGCTTAAAGGGCTCATGCAAGTTTCTGTTTACATAGAATTATTTTGCCACCTTGAAAACATTGTTTTGCACTGAGAATCATCAGGATTCATACTCACAATGGTGTACTTTTTTCTGATGCTCTGTAAATCTGCTAAGTGGATGCTGTTCTTCAGAACTTTTCTATTGGGTTACATGACATAAGTAGCAAATGAGAAATACCTTGTTTAAAATTAATGGCAAGGAAAGCCTTCCTACCTACAGTGATAGAAAAAGTATTATTATAGCAAAAACTCAGTCCTCACTTCAAACCTTATGTCTGATGTGATGCACATTAATTTTAGGTGTTCATTTGATAAACTGGATTTGTTACAAATAGTTTACAGAACACTGAGTAATACGTTTCATGTAACTTTACTGAATTATCAACTATTTTCTTCTAAGGACACAGGTTAGTTTATTCCACTGGAGCATTTGACTCAGTTATTGAGATACACTGTAGAATTAATGGCTGGTTAAAAACAGCAGCTACAGAAATGCTGAGCATAGGCACAGACTCTTCCAGAGCACTGGAAGTATTCAAATGTGGACAATCATTCAAAACATTAAGTTAATATAGTTGAGGGAGTTGCGTGACCACTTTTAAATGCTTCCTATTCTGTAATACATATAAACTAATTTAAACTTCATGGAATAAATAAAACCAAATTTATCTGCTCAACACTGTTATTTGTAGAAGACTTTAGAAATTCCAAGGAAGCTAAAAAGAAATACCTATCTTTCTAACTTCTTTGGAAAAGAGAAGAAGAGATAAGAGAACATAGCTTGTGCTACAACTTGTGAAAATCTAGTAATCAGACACTATGAATATATGAAATATTTTGCTCAAGAGCTATTTGAAATATTAGCTTTTAGGGAATTTTATGGCTGAATTACAAACCTTTGAAAACACAATTATAGAGGAGTTACTGGGAAGTTAAAACAGTGGTCAGCAGTTGTCATGAATGTGCTATGCTTTTCAATTAAAGAAAGCCATAAAACATGGGGAGCTAAAGATTCAGTAAATAATCGGGAGTACTTTCATATCCTACAGTCATTTAAATAAATCTCATAAAAAATCTACTATCTTCTAATAAACGACTGAGTCCACTGGTATTTTGGAGACTTAAAAACATGTTTTTGCCTTGTAACTGAACTGTAGGCATTATTCTAGGCTTATGCTTTGCCTGATTCACTCCTCATGGCATTACCTTTAGCTAACTTCTAGCTCAGACCTGCTGCAATGCTTAACAGATGAGAGTAATCCCTGTCTTTTTAATTGCCTTTATGCTTTGAATCTTCTTCTCATTTTCCAGAGGTTAAAAATACTTTGATAATTTAAGCAGCTAAATAAAGCTTCAGACTACAGTAGTGTGTTCACTCTGTATTCTTAGCCTGCCATCTACAATCACTGAATTAATTCTGACATACCGTTGTGAGCATTCTATGTCTGATTGCATTAAAATAGCTTCCCACGTCATATTTTAGAAGATAAAATTAAATTATTGGCTCTTCTAGACAAGGCTAGCACCCTTCATAAGATCATAATTGCTGGTACAGGGGGAAAAAAGGTTGTTTCAGTGCAAGTTAAAGAAATGTGGGCAAAATTCAAGTAATAATGCCTACTATAATACTTCTGCGAGTCCTATTTTTGAAAGAAATTTTTTTCTTGTGTATCCTTTGCTTTACCTCTCAGTTTACAATTGATTCTCTTTTCTGCCTTTGCTACTGTCTTTTATATTGAAACATACCAGGACTATTGTCATATCTTATTTATAAGCTTTCCTCAGGGTTATACATTGAGCAAGATTGTTCAAATTAATGTTATTCTCTGAATTAAAGAAAAGGGCATTTGACATGCTCAGTGCATAAGTAGTCAATGTCTAGACATAGTTTTTCAATCCAATTTAAGCATTTCTTGTACAAGAGCAACTTTCTCTTTCCAACTGCTTACATTTTAAAATAAAATAACAGTAATTTCACGTCATCTCTAATCTAGACAGAGGTTTCCATTCAGTTACATGTCCACTTGTTTCTTTCCTAAGATAACGTTTATTGCATAATAAGAAGAATCAAACTACAAAAAAAAAAATTCAAAACAATAGGTTTTCCAATCTTTTGAGACTATACTGTTTTTCAAAATCCATTTTCGATGATGTAAATAATGATCTGAAAATGAGGTTTTATTTGCTGTGCTCTGGCAGGAAAGGTTTATACAGTTATATAAATACTTAAGATTCCTTTCAATTGCAGTTAGAATACCCAGCTTATATGTTTCTGTAGCATCCAAAAAGTCAGTGCTTAAGAAAATATTCTGTGTTATTCTTGCATTGTCAATTTACCTCAAGGGAGAGTTTAGTAAAGTACTGAATTAGCAGAACACGGACACTTAAATCTTCAGAGTACATAAAGCACAGACAGTGGTAACATAGACACATTCACATTAACAATTACATCTTAAGTCTGGCTGAACTGAAACATGTTTGAGTACATGTTTTGATTTAGTCTTTATATGATGTTTACATGTGTATATTTCAGTGGTTTTCCATCTTCTAATGGAGCAAGACCTTTTACAAGAGGCCTAAACAGCCACCAGTTAATGCAGACTTTCATTGACTACTCAGCAGAGATTAAAGATGTAAATTTAATTAGCATTTCCCAGAACTGTCTAGTTTTGTATTATTAGTGGAACTTCAGAACCTGCTTTATTAAATGTTTTCTTCAGAGCTGACCCAATTTGATCTGAGGACTTTTTTTTATAATAGGGGTGAGTATAATGAAAAAATACTTCCTACAAAGCCTTCTAATTTGTGTATTTATAAAAGCTTTAATCTCCCTGTTTTTCTTGCTTTTAGGGGAATATGTTGTTATGACTACACATTTTCATTTGAAGAGAAAGATTGGTTACTTTGTCATCCAGACTTATCTGCCATGCATCATGACAGTGATATTGTCACAGGTGTCCTTCTGGCTTAATAGAGAATCTGTTCCAGCAAGAACTGTATTTGGTAAGCAAGACCTATAACCCCTCTTGGCAATCATAAACCAAATAGGTTTAAGAAATGTTATGGTAAAACTAGTTATGCATAACACAATACTGGAGAATAGCATGAGCCTGGATGTAGTGCACAATAGTTAACACGTTTTATTGCAAAGATGTAGCAGAAACTGATTTAAGGTCCAAAGTTTTTAAACTGATTGTAAAAAGAGACCTGAAAATATCTAAGCAATCTATTACAGTTTGACTTTCCCAAAACAATAAATATATGAATAAAACATTTCTGACAAAGGCAATGACCTTCATGGTGGGTATTGTCAAAAAGGCTTTAATCCATGGGTGTTAGTCATTTGACATCCTTAGACCCCCTGACAATTCTCATCTTTAAAATCTTTCTCATCCGTCCCTTTTGCAGGCTGCTGCTAAAGGTCTTCTGTTTAAATTAGTGACAATTGTGCTTACAGTGGTGAACAGATGCAACTCAACGAATGCAGTAAGGAGGTGATCTAAAGGACTCTAAGTTTATACAGTTGGTCTCTAGTGTTTTAACTACTGCTTGCAAATGCTTATCTTAAAAACAAACAACTAGCATATTTTTTGGAGATATTAATCTAAGTCAAGTACATAATTAAAAAATAAAAAAATACGTAACAAATCTTCAGTTAAGGAAACTAGAGCCCGAGATTTCTGCTGTGTGACCTAGTCTTTTTTGTGATGTTCAGATGGGACACCTGAACACTTTTGGCAGGAGGAGGTGGAAGATCACACAGCTGAGCTGGCTTTTACACTCGTTTTCTGCCTCAGGGCACTGCTGGGGCAGGACACCATGTGCCCTCCTGCTTTGCCGAAGAGAATTTACCCATTTACACTGGACATAGCAAAGCCAGAGAGTCACAAGGCCTGATGTTGAGAAGCACAGACTGTGAAACTCTTGTTGAACAAGAGCTACTGTTATTGACCTTTTCTGGCACTCTTTACAGCTGTGCTTTAGTTTCCCAGCACCTCTGGAAATCAATCACAACTTGCACGGCCTTTGACCTCATGAACCAAGTAGAGCCCTTCTGTTGACATACAGATGTATGTTTACAGAAGAATGGTTTAGACAACAATATAATTAAATTTGATTTACATAATATTGTTCAGATTAACATCTAAAATTAGTTCTGAATTTTTGTCATGAATTTCACTGAGAATTCACCTGGGACTTTTATAGGCCTCTGTAGTCAAATCTATTGAAAATGTAACTATTTTACCTCTTTCTGCATATGCCATTTAAAAAGATATGTCAGATCATCAGTTTGAAATCCTGTACTTCATTGGCCCTAGATGGAGAACAAAATTTCCTAGTTTCGCGATGAATAATATACAATACTGCACAATGTTCAAGCTGCTATCTTCACAGGTTGAAGAACCCACACATGTCAAAGTTCTCCTTTTAAAAGACAGTTATTTAGTACATAGTCTTGTGTTTACTCACTATGTATCAAGATAGCTTTTTCTTTTCTTAATGGCAGTGAAACAATGTTCCAGAAAATTTTGCATGAATGTATATACATACAGAAGCACAAATCACATCTTTTAGTCCACTTAGTACCACAGATAATAAAAATCATGAATCCTGTTTTGCTACTATGTAAGAGAACCATAAGCTCACTAGTAATGAGTCAAAGACAAGAACAGGTTATTTCTCAGGGAAGAGAAATTGCTTCCTCATTAGGCAGTAATAATTCAAGCTCTTTACACTGGCATGTAAATACATTGTTCATTATTTGATCTATTTTAGACCACTGCACATTTTCACTAACACTCAGTGCAGCGAAGATGAACTCACAAGACACATTCAATACATGACATTGCAGTTGTCAAGGTAACTTGTGGACATGTGATTTGATGTAAATGTCTAGCCTGCACTTGTAGACATTTATTTTTTTTCAAGCAGCTGCAAGTAGAGTGAGTTCAATACAGTCCTGCTTGCTCTCTATGGCCGGTTAAGGGTTTCATCAGCAGTGAGAAGCTCTATCAGAAACACACATTACGTTATCATTGTTCTTACATAAATACTTTGCTATCTTTAGGGCATTGGTGAATAAAGGGACAAATCTGTAAAGCCATCAATTCAAATAAATGTAATACCACATAAAGCTTAGCATATTTGAGTATGCATTTGAAGGAGCATATACCAAATAAGCTGAATGAAAACAATGAGTTTTTTAGTTTTCTCTCTAGACATCTTAGAACTGTTGGAAAAAAGAACTAAAAATGTTAAATTGTTAGATCTGTAGGAAAATTTGCAGGGCATGAATAAGGAACACCAACAATGATTCTCCAAATACCAGGAAGCATAAATCCAGTCCACAACTCAAAATACTATTTCCATATTATTCTTCATATTATTCAAAATATTATGTTTCTACAACAATGTCAAAGAATAAAGGTATAAAAGATGTTTTGAAGATCCTGCAACTTCCACAGGACTTGAAATCTGATATCCTTAATTAGCAACTGAACTTAAGTGGGGAAGTTTATAAGATTAGGGGTGAAGACAAGGCTTTCCAATCCATTGTTACAGCTGAGAAATGAAGCAGAAAAGATAGCCACTGATCTAAAGACACTAAAACTGTTTGCTTTGCAGGAGTGACAACCGTCCTGACAATGACTACTCTGAGCATCAGTGCAAGGAATTCACTCCCCAAGGTGGCCTATGCCACTGCTATGGATTGGTTTATAGCGGTGTGCTACGCCTTTGTCTTTTCTGCACTCATCGAATTTGCAACAGTAAATTACTTCACAAAGAGAGGCTATGCATGGGATGGCAAAAGTGTCGTTCCTGAAAAGGTAACATCACTTAATATCTATCCCGACAGGTCATACTGTGTCATGCTTGGTGACTATATGGGGGTTTTTAGCCCACTGGAAATTCTTATTATTTAGAATAGTAAGTAATTGTCCCAAAGAAGTTTTCTTATGTGTTCACACACAGCATTTCTACATATAAGCAATAATTACTTAGACACTGAGTACCTAAATACTACTTCTGACATACTGGATGATATTTAATGCTATTAATAATTGAAATTTTTACTGAGAATTTGACTTGTGTCACTGAGCAGAAAAAAGATAAATCCGTATTTTTTTTTTAAGGGAAGGAAGTTAATTTTCTAGTGTTCGAGCAAGAGAAAATGGGGACGCCTCAGTATAAACGTAGGAAAAAATCTTGTGGCTCCTGTATTTGACAGTTTCCAAAGTATATTGCTCCCTCCCAACATGAACTACAGGAGGACTACTCTGTGATCACAACCAAATAAGTCACTGCAGGGCTTTTTTTTTTCTTTTTTTTTTGCCTCCTGTCATTTCCCTATTTTTAAAAAATGGAAAGAATTATTTTCACTTCTTAGTCTATAGGATAAATTGATTTGTTTTGGGGTAAGTATTGACAGTTGTGTTGTGAGTGTACAATCCTTATCCTTACCTTGCTGAATGCAATAGAGGGACATCACACTGACTCCCTTTGGTCTGGGATCAGACCCAGCCTGTAAATTACAGGTGCATCAAGAAATTGTTGAGGACATTTAGGGGATGAAAGAGAAAGTTTCCCATTTCCTATGAGTTATCATGTCAGCTGCTTCTGTGAGGAAGCCCGTTTGGTTAGTTCGGGGTTTTTTTGAGGCATCTTCAAAGACACTTTTAACTTGCCTAGTTAGTTATTATGAACATTCACAAACTAGAGCTTCAACAGAATAAATATTTGGAGGAGCAGATGTTACTCATTGGTATACGAATATATGTGTTTAATTCAGGATTGTATGCCTATATATAATTTTTTTTTGCTATTTTAGTTGCGTAAGTCAGTGAGAAAACAGAAATAAAATTAGGAGATTTACACGATGACAACTAATACAAAAGTATTGTAGAATAAATGAGCGAAGTAACAAGACAAACTTACAGTAATGAGCTGCACGACTGCTGGTGAATATTGAGTTTTCAGTTACTGATGATACTTTCATTGAAAATAATTTGTTTGACTCTCCATTGTGCTCCTATCTTCATGATATCTATTGTAAAGAAAGGGCTGTATTAAAGAACAAAATCCTTAAATGTTAAATATTGCCTTGTTAATAAAACCTACCTTGTAACATAGCTACTATAATCAGTCATTTCACTTGTTTCAAAGAAAATTACATTTTCAGAAAAAAACCACACCAATATAAACACAATATTCAACACCGTTTAAAACATTGGAAGATTTATGGCTTTGCATTCCTCAGCAGGTAAGGGTCTTTATGTGCCATTTGATACAAGTCAGCAAAGACATACCAGTACACGGTAGGGTCTTATCTGCAGACATAAGGAAAGGCAAGCAAGTCAAACTAACGGTGAACAGAGCACTGCAGCTTAATAAAATTTAGAGCTCGAATTAGCTATTATATTACTTTTTCATAAAGTTGAATGTGACTTGAAATATTAAGACTCTAACTAGTGTCAGGGCTTTCTGTGGATCAGATTCCTCACAACATTTAAACCTGGAGAAAGGGTTTCCTCTGAGACTTCTGTGAAGTGGGTCTTTGCCTGCTGGATTTATTACTGCTCACTAGAGTATCTGGCTGAGAAGGAAACAGGATTGGCTTTGTACTCAGCAAGCGTGTTAGCAGCCTTCCTGCTCAGGAGGAAAAGAATGGATAAACTAAAAAAAAAAAAAAAAAAAAAAATCTTTCTGACATTGCCTTTTTTCTTTTCTGAGTATTTTTTTCAACCTGTTTGTTCCTCCTATTGAGCAGTAATATTCTAAGACAATTTGAAGCTTTTTCTTAACTTCAAGCTAAGCTGAATATTGTTGTCATGAAATAAAGAGCACCTACATCAGAGTATTATGTGAATCCCTTTTCTTACTAAGTAGTAGAAATTTAACATTTCAGCCTTCATTTCCTTCCTGTGCAGGGCTCCAAGCCATGCTTTGACAAGCCTCTCCCCACTTGCCCTGATGCTTTTGCAGCTTCCCTTCACGTTCCCAAGTGTCCTGAGGGAGCCTATCTGCTACCTGAAATGTTCACCTCTTGAACAAGAACTTTTTTACCAAAGCCCCCCTACTGAGTGGTCTGTATAGCTATTCATCTATAGTTCATGTGTCATAAAAAGTACTGCGACTACTTTAAAAAACATTGCTTCCGTGGGACAGCTGCTTCTTGAAAACAGAGAATTATATTTGTTATCTTGTGAAATGACATAATAGATCACATTCTGCTGATATTTTCTCTTTACCCGTATCTTTTTTTATTTGCTTCTAAGAGAATAAAAAGGATAACATTTGTGTATTCTATTTGTGGCAAATATTGCCTAAAGATTTTTCTAAGCTCTTGGGATTTTTTTGTTTTCTGTTTTTTCTCTCATAATCAGAGGAACTTGGAGCTAAGTGGTGCTTTCCTTTACACCTCTTTAATACCCACTACATCTCTCTTCTATGTTTATCCTTACGCAATCGCTGGAGGAAGGGTTTGGACTGTCTGCAACAGGGACAGCTGAATTCCAGCTGGTATCCCCAGATATCAAAATTTAAGTTTTTTCCTACAAGTAGATTCCAGAAGTCGAATACTAGAAAACGTAAGGACTCGGGAAAAATCTAGATAGTCTTTCTGATCAATAAGTTCTTCTCCACTAAAAGTTTTTCAATACATTACTGCTTTAGAAATATAGGTAGGTGGATGCAAAAATCACACAGCTGTTTAAGTCCTTGTATATGGAATGACATTTCGGCCACTGTGATCCAATTGTAACATTCAAACAAGAACATTAAGTTTCTATTGCATAATGCTTATGCTTTTGGTGGAAACCATTAGTAAATAGAATAGTGGCAGCTTTGCATTTATTAAATAATCCACTCAGCGTGTGGTCACATGATATTTTTATTGCGTATTTTTATGTATGAACTGTATTAGAATGCATCATATAACATTATTTGTCTTAATATTAGAAAACTACATTAAGAAATTCAGTGTCTTTTAAAGTTTTTGTCCTGGTCAAGAAGCACAGTTGATTAAGGGAATATTGAATGACGAGTGATTTGTCACTATTGATTACCATTAAAGTTAATTTTGTCGATCAGTGAGCCTAACTATCAGTTTAAATCCTCATTATAGCTTATCCATCATCTAATTTGGTTTAACTAATACAAGCAACACAGATGGATGATTTTTGTCTTCACCTAAATATTTTGCATGAGTCATGTATCTGGACACTAACTTCTTTCTTACAGTTTATTATGTTTTGTGGTATAAATTCAACTAATTGCAAAATTTTATGATGCTTTTTCGTAATTTTATCTGTTGAGAAGATGGTGAGAATAAAACATTTTCTTCTTTCTTCAGCCAAAGAAAGTGAAGGATCCTCTCATTAAGAAAAATAACACATACACAGCTGCAGCTACGAGCTACACCCCTAATATTGCAAGGGACCCTGGGCTGGCAACCATTGCTAAAAGTGCAACGATTGAGCCCAAAGAAGTTAAGCCAGAAACAAAACCTGCAGAACCCAAGAAAACTTTTAACAGCGTCAGTAAAATTGATCGACTATCAAGAATAGCTTTCCCATTGCTTTTTGGAATCTTTAACTTAGTCTATTGGGCTACCTATTTAAACCGGGAGCCCCAGTTAAAAGCTCCAACTCCACATCAATAACCTCATTTATTTGTATAGTTCTGTTTCGTCTTTTGCTCTGGGAATTGCTTCCCGTTTTCACATATAGTAATTCCCATTTGCTTCATTGCCTCTGTCTTAAAGAAAAAAAAAAAAAGGTTTCTTTATCTAACAAAAGGTAAAATATATCTTTATATTTTAAAAAACTGTGTGTGAGGAAGAGAACAATATAAGCTATATACTTTGGAAAAATGATTCTGAAAATAGAAAAGAAAGAGTTGTAGAGTAATGAAAAAGAAAGGGAACCATTTGTAGATAGCTTAGTACTGAACGTCCCCAAAAGGTATTGTATATGTACATGAAAAAGATATTTTTATCCCAAGGATTGTGGGGAGTGGGAAAATGTTCTTTATGACGTTCCTGATGCACATACTACACCATACCATTTATCCAACCACTGTTTATAATCTTTTCAAGGAAGTAAAGCTTTCCATTTGCTGAATCCCATAAGATACGTTTTTTTCCTAATCCTTTTGTCTTCTTATTCCAAAACACCTGATATATTTAATAGTAAATGGTCTTTAAAGAAAAAGGAAATCTACTCACTCTAGGTACAGTTTGTCACTGTATAGCACATAAGATCTAATGGTAACAAATGCTTTAATCTGCTGTCTTACTGCAGTCTTGTTCTAAGCATTGAGTTGTCACTAGACTAGATTTAAAACCAGTTGCACAATCCAGTGCAGATCCTAAGTTCCCTCTATCACCTGTGTAATCGGAACAATTCCTGGATGCTTTTACAGATAGCTTTTACTCATCACTATGTTTTAGAGTTAAAAAAGAACAAAACGAAACAACAAATTTTGCAAGCTCTAGATATGTTGAATGTATTCTTTTATAAAAAAAATGATACATTAAAAAGAAGCTTTAGACTGAGATTTATGGATAGCAGAAAGACAAAATATAGTATTTAAATAATATATGTAAATATGCAGCATGAGATTGTACATTTTTTTACTTTTTTAAAGTTGTGTTCTTAAAACATTGTGTAGGGTTCACCTCTTAGCTCTTAATATGTTGTTAAAAGCTCAATAAAACATATTTAGAGCCTGAATTAAAAAAAAATCAGTGGTACAGGAAAGCCTAAAGATATACGCAGAAAGATTTTGGAATTAATTCCATTTGTAAAGCGGTTAAGTGTACAGTAGCTTGCAATTTGACAATGTCATCCAATGTATACTATTAGAGTAATGACTGGTTTGCTCAGGTCATGCATAAATACTAAAGTATGGGATTATATTTGGTAGATAAAAAAGGTGAAATATTTGTTAAGACTGAAGTTCATCTGTATATTACTGCTATATTTGCTGATACATAACTGTTACAATAAGTGATGTAATATATGTAGCATTAAATACAAAAATCATACATAAAAGAATGTACAGGAAAATAGATTTTATTGAGTAAACTTACTACATTTCATTTTTACTGTAGCAATATATTTGTAGGAACAATATGTAAGGGCTTTAAATACAAGATGTCCACTTTTGCAGGTATTGTGCTCCCTTTAAAAAAAATTCTAGTCAGTATCATTACTGCTGATTCTTAGAAATAAAATTGCAGGTAAAGATTTTTCAGAGACATGGGAAGAGTGGTGGATATTTGCAAACATCAACTAAAAAAGTGTAATACATGGTATTGAATGAATTTTAAAACAATGCTACATGAGCCTCCAGAGAAACAGCTACTGAGAGTCAAATTTCACAGGCAATGTTTTCTAAACTCTCAATAAATCAAAAAGCTGACATTCTCCACCTACAAAAGGAAATAGTTAATGTTTTATTTAGACACTTTTCTTTAATAATGCTTCATTGTCTAACATTAGTCCTGTCTAAACTTGATAAGTTATCTGATTGGAGCTTATTAAAAGGGGATGTTTCATCTTCTGGTATCATGTGTAGATATATGTATAGAAAAAAATAAACTATGGCTCTTTAACTTCTGTGTACTTGTTTATCTTGTTATTTTTGGCGTTAAACTAGTGTGTTCATTTAGGGCATTTTATCTTTCTCGCAATTCATAGCTACCTTTTGGTCTGCATTTTGCACATTAGATGTGAATATTACTTAACTAGTCTGCTTTTTGCTATGCAATGATTGCATTATATCACCTCTTAGTTAGTCTATGCCAATAGTATTATACTGTATAAACTTGATTGCACAGTTTATCAAAGACAAGGTATTCTCTATGTAGCTTTTTTACAATGCTTTGCTAAACCATGTAATAATAGTAAGTCTTCCTTGAAAATAATGATACACTCTTATAGAGGACAGTTTCTGTTTACTCCTGGGATAATTTTAAAAAGATGACATTGAATGTTTATTGCACCTCAGTGCAGTGATGTGGCAATAAAACCTAAATCTAATAGAGGTTGTTTATGGCAGAAGCATGTATTGCTTTACAGAGTTTAGCAAAAGCTCTTTATTTTATGTCAGACTGTAATTCTATTACAATAATAAAGCTAAAAATGTTCAATAATGAAAGTGAATGTTTTACTTTGGTTTTCTTTAGTTACTGTCTTTTATGACACATCGCTTGATAAACTGCTATTCATTCAAAAACTTAGTTTCTGTGGATTTGGTAATGAATGCAGTTTTAACAGCTGTAATTTTCTGTCCAGTATTTTCCAAGGGTGAATATAACAACCAGAATGTTTCTGAAATCTGATTTGACATTCAAAAAAAGATAGCTCAGTCTGTACAATGTATATCCAGTAAAGCAATTAATTGAATCAGATGAACAATTGTTAAGGTTTAGTACCACAACAACGAATATGATATAGCGTAGGAACAGAATAAAATGCATTGTCTCCTAGATAAAATAGCAGACAAACCAGAAAGCGAGATTGAAAATGTGGGTATTTATGTTATCGATTTCACTGTTTAAATAAATGCACATATCTAAGAAAGACTGTTAGAAGAAAACCTCAGGCTGTATAAAATAATATTTCACTTTAATGAGTTGTGGGGACAGCATTCAAACAAGCATATGTATAGCTTGAAAATTTTAATTCTCAACTCTTCATTCTTCCCCACATAGAAAAATACAAAGAGAGGAAAAGTCATTCCAGTGCATTCAGCCCTGAATTCCTCTTGGGACAGCTCCTGGAAAGCAAGGCTCATGCTCTTATGTAGGGGAACACAACCAATTGTGGACACACAGTTTTACAGGATCCAAAGCAGGAAAGCCTGATGTAAGTGTATATATGTATATAGCAATATTCATAGTGTTCTTAAGCACGAGTCCTACAGAAGGGATTCTTCAAAATGGAAGGAAAGATTGTGGTAATACAGACTCAGATTCTATTAACTTCTTATGCTTTCCTCTATTTTGAATGAGAATAATACAGTCTGAATCCCTATTCCTTACTAACTCCATGGAGATGAATCCCTATGGAAACTCACACAGGATATTCTGGAGGAGCATGGTAAAGAAAGTGGCGAGTGACACTCTTTGAATACCCACCTCCTATATTTACATGCAAGATGCAGAGCATACATGGGGATTCTCACATCTCCTTTGTCACTGCTCAGACATTTTAAGGTGAATTTTACTCTAGTAAAATGAGCAAAAATGTCTAGATGCAACAGGATTTGACTCAGAGAAAAATATATAGCACTACTCAGTTTCAGAGTGGTAGAACAGCCTCATCAGATAACAGATTCACAGTCACCAGACAGTCCAGCATGACACCCTAACACGGCATTGCTGTGTGGGTTCCGATATTACATCAGTAGGGGAATTCGTCCAGTTTTTCTTGGATCATCCCTAGAAGCTACTGCAGGACTTTCTTAACGACCAAGAACCTTTTTTACAGCGCCAGTGACTTTCTTAATGATATTCTTTCTCTTGGACTGACTCTGTGAGACCTGAAAAAACTGATTTCCTTTTATCTCTGCCTCCTATTTTTCACCAATATGGTAAATAATAAAAGCTTATGAAACACCCTAATGGCTAGAAAATGGGGCACACATGCTTCAGGGAGCAAATAATAAGAGAACCTCTTTCAGGCTGTGCTTTGTATCCGAATGACTGTCCAAATAAATTAGTGTGACTGGGGAAAGTCAAACTTTTTCTTAGAGGCTGTAAAAACATCAGTCACACTTTAAAAGATAAAAACTCCAAGATTTCCTCAGACTTTCTATAGCAGATTCAGAGAAAAAAAAAAAAAAACTCATTCTATGCATAAACAAGACATAGCTTAAACAAAAATGTATTTGCAGCCTTAGCACATGAATTTTGCAAGTGAAGTGTATTATCAGCTTGTCAAGCTGTTGCTGTCATGTTACATCAGATTACAAACTCCATCAAATACAAGAAGAGAGGTAAAAGCCTTGACACGACAAGTTTCTATAGGCTCATTCACTCTGGCTATAGGCCTATCTAAACAGGAAGGATAACCTCACAGCTGCTAGTAAACTTATTTGATTAAACTGCTTTAGGGCATTTGAAGATGCTCTGCATAGATTTTGCACTTGCAGCACAGCTGTTACATGCATTTCACCCAAAGACTAGAGACATTTCCCCTCAAAAACCTGCAGACAGACAGATCGAGCAACAAAGGGCACTGCTTTTCTGACTGTGCTGTCAAGGGATGAAAGACATATTTGCCGAAATCTTAATCCGATCAAGGACATCTGAATGTAAACAGATATCATGGATTTCTTTTCAAATGTCCTCATATACAAAATATTTAATTAACCTCAAGTTGCACAAGCGTAAGGATCTGAACCAGGCCTAAGATGCTAAAGCTGTTTAGAAATGGTTCGTTAATGGCTGCCCAGAAGGCACGATCTTTGCTACATAATAGTTTTACATGTCTGCATCATCTGCTTAATACTAGGTGACTAAAGTGTCTCATAGGAAAAAAATAATTTAGCTGCTATGGGATTAATGCAAATTTCTTTAAAACCCCCCACATACTTAGAGCTCCTATTCCATTATTTCCTATTTCAGTTCTGTTTAACATCTTCACTGATGA